TTTTTTTTTTGCATTTTTGCATTTTCTTTTTTTCTACTTGCTCAGATTCTTTGGCATATCTGTGTTTTGAGGAAGAATTCTATTCATTGTCAATCCTCCCACCTCCTTTGGGATATCAATGTTGATTTGGCTGGTGGGGTCAGTTTCCCAGGTCTTGGAGAAACAGTAATGATGTCTGAATCTTAAATTTAGCTTATCAAGTATTGCAAGTATGAAAGAATTTGCATTTGCTTTTCTTTATGTCTTTACTATTTACTTAATTATGCAACCCTAAACAGTTTACATTTAATTTTGAAGTATATGGAATTGAACAGTATTTATATAATTGGGCCTTCTTCTCATTTTTTATTGAGTAATAATACCTCCTTAGCTGACCCCCATTGTGCCCTAACCCTTTATTTTTTCTTCCATCTCCCCTTACTCCCTTCTAGTATTTAACCAATAACACTGCAATAAACTACCTTTTATATTTTGCTAAGTTTCACTTTATATTTAACTACTTCAATATAAGGTTATTTAGTAGAGCGATATCTTATTTTTAAATAAATGCTTGAACTCTGTACCAAAAGGCCAAGAGATGCTTTGTGCTTCTAGGTATCCTGAATACGTTTTATTTCTTTGTTTATTATGACAGTGAAACCAATCCGTAATCTAAATGGACATTCAATTGGGCAATATAGAATACATGCTGGGAAAACAGTGCCCATTGTGAAAGGAGGAGAGGCAACAAGAATGGAGGTATGTGTGTCATTAACACATCTGTGAAAAACATTGTGATTTTCCCCTAAACAAAAGCTAGTGATAGTTAAGTATATAGTTATGTTGACCAAAATTAGCTTGCCATTCATACTCACCGTGATAGGAATTGGGCCATTTGTGCAAATGGTGTCTGGTCAGACCAGAGCGAAATCAGCTTTGGATGTTGCAACTGACAAAGTATTGTTTATTCAACATTTAATGAATATTTATTGAGCATTTTATAGGTGCCACTGTCTTTAGTAGGCACTGGAGGTATAGTAGTGAACAAAACAAAATACCCTGCTCATGTAAAGCCTGTATTCTGATAGGAGGTGGCAGAAAACCCAAAAAATGCTAAGCAGGGAGAGGCTAGATAAGGACTACTAGGGGTTATTTCATGTTGCTGCTTCTGTTAGCCAAGGAAGTCAAGAGATGGTGATTGTGACTAGTTCTGAATTTTTCTTCTTTCCCCTTGACCCTGATGTATTTTTAAGGAAGGAGAAGTTTATGCAATTGAAACCTTTGGTAGTACAGGAAAAGGTGTTGTTCATGATGATATGGAATGTTCACATTACATGAAAAATTTTGATGTTGGACATGTGCCAATAAGGTGAGAGACTCTTTATTTTTTTGCCTAGCCACTTAGGGATCTAGCATGTTTTTTTTACTCTTGATTTTTATATGACTAAAGGAGCATCTCTTCCCATTTGACAGTATTTTTAAAAATGCGACATACATACAAAGTGAGATATATTTATAAATGTAGATAGGTCTATAGCCTAACAGTAAGTTCTATGGGTTTCTATAATATGGCAAAAAAAATTGGCATGTTAAAATTTTAATTGAGATGAAAATAATATATATAGGCAAATATTCTCTTTAAATGCAGTTTCATAATATAATAACATCAGAGATTATTATTTTGCTAGCATTCCTAGTTGTTGATCTTAATGTTTTCTCACTGGTAAATTTCATATTTTAATTTAAATTGAATTTTTTACTTTTGGAGATGATTGAAGCCTGGATTTATGCCTCCTTTTATGTTCAGGTCTTTCTTTGAGCTTGAGGGACACCAAAGGAAATTCCCATGATGCCACTCTGTAGATGAATGTGTCCTGGGAATTAAACACACACGTGCATAGACACATAAACACTGTAAGATGGCCTCCAGCTGGTTTCCTATTCAGCTGCCATCTATAATTAGGTATTGGCTATTATACATTCTGGCTTTTGATTGTTGAAAGAGTAACAACAAAAGTTTTTGAACTTTAATTACTAAGACATAGCTATGGTTTGGATTGCTAACTCTTGCCAACTATTAATCTTGGATTTTTTCCTTTTAGGCTTCCAAGAACAAAACACTTGTTAAATGTCATCAATGAAAACTTTGGCACCCTTGCCTTCTGCCGCAGATGGCTGGATCGCTTGGGAGAAAGTAAATATTTGATGGCTCTGAAGAATCTGTGTGACTTGGGCATTGTAGATCCATATCCACCATTATGTGACATTAAAGGATCATACACAGCACAGTTTGAACATACCATACTGTTGCGTCCAACATGTAAAGAAGTTGTCAGCAGAGGAGACGACTATTAAACTTAGTCCAAAGCCACCTCAACATCTTTATTTTCTAAGCTTTGTTGGAATATATTATACCAGAATTACTTTGCAACATGTTGTCTGTTTTAACAGTGGACCTATGTAATACTTTTTATCCATGTTAAAAAAGAAGGAATTTGCTCAAAAACAAACCATCTAATGTAATTAACCAAGGAAAAAGCTTTCAGGACTTTTCAAATGTTAACTGTTTTACCCGTTCCTGTCTAGGAAATGCTATAAAAGCTCAAATTAGTTAGGAAAGACTTA